TGGGCTACAGTCCATGGGGGTCACAAAGAGTTGGACGTGACTGAAGTGACTTAGCACTCCAACACCTCTTTTCTCCTAGTGAGAAATATAAATTCTTTTATATGGATAGTTGACATTTTCTCAATTTCATGTGAAGTATAAATAAAAATAACTCTGTTAAACTTCTACTTCTATATGTTGATCTATAACATGAATTATATGTAAAGCAGTGTGCTTCCTAAACACCTCTGCCCCCTAATTTTTTGCCCCAAGCCTCTCCTATGTAAATAATTCTATATATGCTGTTTCTACCTATGCAAACTCATGCTGCCTCCCACCCCCTTCACTCTTTCATAACATCCTGCTTCATTTCCTTAACAGGCTTTTATCTATCTCAGAGTGTGTTGATTATTTACTACTATTCCATTCTAGGAAATTAGGTCCTTGAGTATAGGGACCTTTCCTTTTGTTTATTGCAGTATTCTGATATGGCTTCAGTTCAGTTCAATCACTCAGTCATGTCCAACTATTTGCGACCCCATGGACTGCAGCACCCCAGGCTTCCCTGTCCATCGCCAACTCCCGGAGCTTGCTCAAACTCATGTCCATTGAGTCGGTGATGCTATCCAACCACCTCATCCTCTGTCGTCCCCTTCTCCTATCTTCAATCTTTCCCAGCATCAGGGTCTTTTCAAATGAGTCAGTTATTTGCATCAGGTGACCAAAGTGGAGCTTCAGCTTCAGCATCAGTCCTTCCAATGAATATTCATGACTGATTTCCTTCAGGATGTACTGGTTGTATCTCCTTGCAGCCAGAGGGACGTTCAAGAGTCTTCTCCAAAAAAAAAAAAGAGTCTTCTCCAATGACACAGTTCAAAATCATCGGTTCTTTGGGCTCAGCTTTCTTTATGGTCCAACTCTCACATCCATACATGACTACTGGAAAAACCGTAGCTTTGACTTTGTGGACCTTTGTTGCTAAAGTAAATGATATGGCTTAGGTGCTCAGTATCTTTTGAGTGATAATAGGACCCTTACTTACATATTTATTGATTGGTTCATTTTATTTCTCAATATTATTAGTTCACATGGTACAGAAGTCTCCCACTTAAACTTGTAACCCCCCTGCCCAAGTCCCCTTCCTGGAGGTGAAAAACTCTTCTAATATTCTTTGTCGACTCTTAACCTTGCCACCTCTCTGCTTCCCTAAACTGGGACGTTCTTAAAATCAAATGGGGCAAAAAGGGTGTGGGTTCCCAATGGGAAGGGAAGATTTCTTGGTTCACACCCATGTCCTCACACAGAATAGGAGAGGTAAATTCCCACCAGATATATAGGATGACTGGGGAAAAAGACGGAATTGTTTTTTTTTTTAAGTATCGTTAAAAGTGATACTCAGGGCAAAAACCCTTTGACTTTCTCCACTTCCATGTAAAACAGATATTCCCCACTCCAGACTTTCCACCACACCCTGCGTGGACTATGTAACACCCTTTGTTTACTTGTCTGGCTTCTCTCCCAACCAAGGGCTGAGATCAAGTTTTATTTATCTTTAGAGCTGCAGAAACCAGCAATGTGCCTTGGCTCCAAAGAAGGTGCTTAATAAATGTTTCTGGAATAATTAAAATGTAGTGTTCTTTAGAAAACAAAACTGCCAAAATGAGTAAGAAACCCAGGCCCTGTCTCCTGCAGCTGAGAACATGGCACAATGTTATAGGTTTAACTGCAGCAATATCCTAACTGAAATTCTAAATGATTGTTCCAATTTTTTAAATTTCATGTTCTTCAGAGTACCGCACTCACTGTACTGAGAGACGGTTACGCCCACCTGCCCCAGGGCATATCTAATTCAAATTTCTTGGTCTTTCCCTACCCTGTGTTGTTTTTAACTGTAATGTTACTAGGCAGCTTTTGCATCCTGTGGTAATATTGTTGTAATTGAGTAAAAATCATGCCTCTGGGAGAACAAACTTAACCTGTTTCTCTCCTTTACAATGATGATTTACCAAGTAAAAGACTTTCATTCCACTGTTATTGGCCCATTCACCTGCCTTAGCAGCAAAATAAGTCTCCTGCCCTGAAAATTTATAATTGAGAGTCCTAAATCACCTTCTCAAATACTTTTAATATATACAGCACATAAATATACATGCATATTCTCGTAAACGTAAGCCGTGAACTTTTGAATGAAAGATCCTTAAGAACTAGGAACTAATTTTTCACAATGATGTAAAGTCTCTAGGAATGTTTCTTAAGACTAGCCTGCTTTTACCCACAGCTGAATCCTTTCTAGCTTATGCTTTTTATTCTGGAGAAATAATTTTTTTCTAAAGACAAGCCTACTCTAATAGATATCTAATTTTTTTTTTTAAAAGTCATGTTGGTCAAATCAGTTTTTCATTTAAAAACCAAATAATATGCTTGAAAAATTCAACTGTCTTTCTTCATCTTCCTGGTATCTTTACCTGTCCTCTTCTGCTGGTTCTCTCAGCAAACTTCACCTCACTTCAACACAGCTCTAACTGTTACCAACTGCCGTTTGGCTCCAGAATCCAGTTCTCAGGCTAGAATGTGATAACCCCTACCACTGCTCCCATTTTACTTCTCAGGTGTAGTTTAGACTTCTGTATTTTGTCACTTGCCTTAATACCCTCTTGATGGATGACATTGTTTGACCATTTCACCACGTGTTCATCAGCTCACTCTGATAGAATAACCAAATCCAGTTCCTCCTTAGTTGCTCAGTAGATTAAATGGGAGACTAGCATTGTCCCTTACAAATAGTGTTCAATAAATCTTGTGTGTACTTTTAATTATAGCAATTTTTTTTAGAGATTTTTTTATGTGGACCATTTTTTTACAGTCTTTATTGGCTTTGTTACAATATTGCTTCTGTTTTTATGTTTTGGTGTTTGGGCCACAAGGCATGTGGGATCTTAGCTCCCCAACCGGGGACTGAATCTGTGCCCCCTGCATTGGAAGGCAAGGTCTTAACTACTGGACTGCCAGGGAAGTCCTTAATTACAGCGGTGTTATTTGAGGATAATCATTCTTGTTAATGGCTTTAATCAGTAAATGCAGCCTATGATTCCTGGTGTCCTCAAAATAAGTTTGTCTCACGTGAAACTTAGGACTTCTCTGGTGGCTTAGAGGGTAAAGAATCTGCCTGCAATGCGGGTGACCTGGGTTCGATTCCTGGGTTGGGAAGGTCCCCTGGAGGAGGGTATGGCAACCCACTTGAGTATTCTTTTTTTTTCGACTCGAGTATTCTTGCCTGGAGAATCCCCATGAACAGAGGAGCCTGCCAGGCTACAGTCCATGGGGTCGGAAAGAGTCAGACATGACTGATAGACTAAACACACAATGTGAATAAACAGTTAAGTCTGTGTACAGCCAGTGAGGATGATCAAATCAGAACAGAGATAGTATTGATAAGAACTTGAAAAGTGTAGCTAGGAAAGAGTGACCAGTTGAAAGCTTGGATTTTAATGGAATGAACATACTTTATTTTCATGCCTAATTAATCTTTAAGGATTACCAACATACTCTTTTCATTTATCCTTCTAGCAATTATGTAAGATCAACAGCAGATTCCATTACATACAATTATATCAATTATATAGATTATGTACAAAAAGTTTGAGGATCTAAAATTCTCATTCAGTTTATCTTTGGGGATTTCAACACTGAAAAGACCATGCTAGGGTACTTAAAAGTTGTATCTGGGGAATTCCCTGGTGGTCCAGTGGTTAAGACTCCAAGCTTCCACTGCAGGAGGCACAATCCTTGACCAGGGAACTAAAATCCCACATGCCTTTCAGCACGGCCAAAACAAAAAGAGAAAAAAACAATTGTATGTGTACATACACAAAACCTCTGCTATAACCAGTTTTGTTAGTGAAAGAAGCCTTCAGGCCTACTCCCAGTTATCTAAGCCTTTACATAGCCCCTCTAATCTTCAAAGACTTGATAATCCACTGCACTCAGTAAGGCCTGTGGCAATAATACTAACTTTAAGACATTTCCCAAGAGACAATACTGGCCACTGGACATATCATTCCTAGATAAGAGAGGAGTTCTCAAACAATATTTAAAATTATAGCTCTGTGAGGCAGCCAAAACATCATGCTTCCTATTTGCTATTTTTAAATTCCTTTTTACCCAAATAGAACTAAGTAGTTCCATTTTCTCCAGTATTGTTAATACTTGCAAAGAGCTGCTTTTCTCTAAATTCTTAATGAGTTTCAGTAACTAAAAAGGTCACATCACAGGAATCTATTTATAAACAGGAGGGATCATGAGTGAGTGACTAACAGAACCCCAGTGCTAAATACACAGTCGGGTAATTGATTAATTGCCTCTCCTCCTGGGTTAGTGACACACACAGGAAATGATCTGGAGGACTACAGGACTGCCAGTCTCTGCGGCCACACTGTGATTAGCTGAACCAGCTTTGTTCAGATTACTGCAGCACAAAAGATGTGATGACACCTCTCCAGTGAAACAAGGGGCCCTGTCTCAGTAGGAGAGGGAAAGGAGATGAGGCAGACACCCCTTGCTGGTCTTTTGTGTGGCAACAGGGGTGTGTTTGGGTATTGCTATGTTTTGATGACTCAGTGGTGAGTCAGTTTTAAAGTTCTGTAAAATCCAGTTTAGACTGGATTGAGAGATGAGCTCATCTAGTAGCTAGCTGGGTGGAGAGTACCCAGTAGTACTAGGTACGATCAGCTGATTGGTGGCATAAATATGTACATGGAAAAAAAAATACCCGTGAGGGTGAATTAGTTCCTGAATGCAGAAATCAACTCTACCTGGCATCTTCTATTGGGTGTGTGCCATGTTCAAACATGATCCATGTCCTACCTACTGCCCCTTACTTTTATATGAGTCAGGGCATGAGAAATATCCTAAGTGCCACAAAAAGCTGGGGTGCTTTGGAGGGAGCTGGGAAGGCTATAGTGCCAGCTATATATGGCAGGCACTGAGCCAAATGCTTTCCATATTTATCTAATCTTTATAGGAATCCTCCAAGAGAGGTATTTTAATTCACATTTTACAAATGAAGAAAACGAAACCCAACTAGGTTAAATGCCTATATCACATAGTCATAGAGCCGATATTACTGAGACTGTGTCACTACTGACTTCAAGGCTAGCTTTTTTGCATGTGACGGTGATCTGGCTGTGACATCTATCACCCCATTAATCACCACGGTTGACTCAGCTGATCTGGCTGGCTAGGCCAGTGTCCCCGTCCTGCCTCACCCCTTCACGTGTGTCCTTCTTCAAGCTGCAAGCTCCAGCTCATCGCAAAGGATATTGGAAGAATTGCTCTCCTCTGCTAGAACCTTCAAACAAACTCTCAGGACTAGCTCTTTCTACCTCAACAAGAATGGGGTAAGGTGAGGGTGAGAATGAATTGGGAGACTTGCTGAAGACAGGGTCACAGGACCCCACCATGGGCAGTGTGCTGCTAGAGTCTGGACAGCAGGACGTGGTGGAGGGTCATGGGTGTCAAAAGACAGTCATACTTGGCACCTCTGCCTTTTTGTTATACCATAAAACCCACATGTATTTTAAATTCTAAAATCAAGAGGAAAGATTACAAAGATTGATACTATGGTGTGTTGCAGAAGGTTTGGAGAAGATCATTCCTGTCCACTATGGGGGTGGGTGTAAAGTGGTACCTTTTTAAAAGATCATTTTGACTGTTTCTTCTGCAATTTAAATATTGATCATCTTTGACTCAGCAATGCTACTAAACCTTTCTACAGGTCTGCAAAAATATGTAAAACAATGTTTGTTCTTTAGTCGCTAAATTGTGTCCGACTCTTTTGCGACCCCATGGACTGCAGCCTGCCAGGCTTCTAACCTAGGTCTCCAGCATTGCAGGTAGATTCTTTACCCTCTGAGTCACCAGGCAAGCCCCAGAGGGTTGGGGCGGAGGTGCTATTTTGATAGGGTGATCTAGGAAGGCCTTTTGAGGAAGTGTCATTTGAGCAGGAATCTGAATAAAGTGAGGGAATCAGCCAAATGGATATCTGGAGAATTGTGTTCTAGGTGTGGTGTATAATACCAAAAATTGGAAGCCACCCAAATGTCCATTAAATATTAAGTAACCACAGTTTGCCAAATGATGAGATAGAGCTATACATACAAAATGAAAAGATATCTAAGATATAATTTTTTAAAAGATTGCAAAACTATATAACGATTCCATTAAAAAAAATTAGCCTACAGTAAATATATTTACTGTGGTAAATATATTTACCATCTGGAGAAATATACAAATTTATAAAAAAAATCTCACTTCCAGAATGCCTGGGTACCAACTAAAGAGAGAGCCAAGAGAAAAGCCGTAACATTGCTCTAAAACAGGATGGGGCAGGTGGAATATGGCAGAGATTCTGCAAACCCATACCCTGCTTTTTCTGACATCCTGTAGCTCTCCACTCTTTCTGGTCACTGATGATGCCCCAGCCCTCCTTCCATTTCCTCGTGTCCCCGCCTCCCTGTCTCCCTTCTCTGGCTTTGCTCTTGGGGAAGGAGCCTGTGCTCCAGTTCTCTCAGCCTGGTTATTTCACTTGGACTGGTCTTCCGGCCAGTCTCAGACAAGCAGCTCTGTGTTCTGCCTGCCATCTATGGTGAGTGCTGATAAGGAAGGGGCTTCCTGGATCCCTCTTGATTTATTACAGGCTCACTTCTAAGTGCAGAATAAAAGATTTTGTCCCTAGTAACCAGCTTCAGAATTTAACTGATCCAGGAACTCAGATTGGGGCATAAGATAGCTCACACATGCTCCTGCCAATTCTGACTGGATCACCCGCTTTGCTGTCAAAGCAGGTTTTCAAAGCAGCCAAATCTTGTGTTTGATGCCTGTCCCCACTCCCATCCACCACGACCAAGCTCTGCTGACTTTCCAGGGCCTTGTGTGTCTGTCTGTATGTTTATCAACCAGTAGTTAGAAACAACAAGAGCACAAGAATATGGCAAGGATGAAATAAATACACAAACTATGTTCTATGCTCCTATATTACTTCTAACAATTTTTCAATTGATTGTTTTGGATTTCAAGGTAGACAATCATATATTTGGTCATTCTGTCCTTCTTACTGGTATTTTTTTTTTTGTTGTCTAATTGAATTAACTAGCACTTCCAGGACAGTATTAAGTAACAGGAGAGGTGTTCAATGGCTGGTTAGCTCAGTTAGAGCATGGTGTTAATTATAGGAGAGGTAGAAAGTATCCCTGTCTTGCTCCTGACTTTAATGGGGCTATTAATAATAATAGTTCCAATTTGCCTTGATTCGTGGACCTAACATTCCAGGTTCCTATGAAATATTGCTCTTTACAGCATCAGACCTTGCTTCCATCACCAGTCACATCCACAACTGGGTGTTGTTTTTGCTTTGGCTCCATCTCTTCATTCTTTCTGGAGTTATTTCTCCATTGATCTCCAGTAGCATATTGGGCACCTACCAACCGGGGCAGTTCATCTTTCAGTGTCATATTTTTTACCTTTTCATACTGTTCATGGGGTTCTCAAGGCAAGAATACTGAAGTGGTTTGCTATTCCCTTCTCCAATAGACCACATTGGTGACTATAGCCATGAGATTAAAAGACGCTTACTCCTTGGAAGGAAAGTTATGACCAACCTAAATAGCATATTAAAATGCAGAGATATTACTTTGCCAACAAAGGTCTGTCTAGTCAAGGCTATGGTTTTTCCAGTAGTCATGTATGGATGTGAGAGCTGGACCATAAAGAAAGCTGAGCACCGAAGAATTGATGTTTTTGAACTGTGGTGTTGGAGAAGACTATTGAGAGTCCCTTGGACTGCAAGGAGATCCAACCAGTCAAGATGATTAGTCCTGAGTGTTCATTGGAAGGACTGATGTTGAAGCTGAAATTCCAATACTTTGGCCACCTGATGCGAAGAACCGACTCATTTGAAAAGACCCTGATGTTAGGAAAAATTGAGGACATGAGGAAAAGGGGGCGACAGAGGATGAAGTGGTTGGATGACATCACTGAGTCAATGGACATGAGCTTGAGTAAACTCTGGGAGTTGGTGATGGACAGAGAGGCCCAGCGTGCTGCAGTCCATGGGATCACAAAGATTCAGACATGACTGAGTGACCGAACTGAACTGAACTGAATAAGTTATTGGTTGATAAGATATGTATATATGTACATGTGGACTTGATTTATATCTACTGTATTAGAGAAGTATTCTTTTGTCAGAATATTTGAGGAATGAATATTCCATTTTACCCCATTTTTAGCATTTCTCTTAATTAGTCTTTTTTCTGTTTTCAATTATGTATGTGGTTAAGTAGATTAATAGATTTCCTTCTATTATGCCACTCTATCCTTCCTGAAATAAACTATAGTCAAGCTGCTTTCAAAATATACTGTAAAATTATGTTCATTTAGGCATTTTGCATCTGTATTTATAAATGGAACTGAGCCATAGTTTTTCTATCATACAATCTTTATAAGATTTTGGCTTCATAAAATAGTGGAATGTTTGCTTCTTTCTCTGTGCTTTTTTTTTTTTTTTTGGTTTTAGTTCTACCACTTTATTGCTACCAACCCATCTCCCTCCACCCTCGTGCACACATGCTCAGTCATGTAACCCCATGGACTGCAGCCCGCCAGGCTCCTCTGTCCATGGACTTTTCCAGGCAAGAACACTGGAGTGGGTTGCCATTTCCTTCTCCATCTCTGTGCTTTTGAACAGCTTTAATAGTATAAGAATGGTTGATTCTGTGAAAATTTGAAAGAAGTTGCTCATTAATGTGTCTGGGTTCAGCATTTTTTTCTTTGAGCTTTTGACAGTTTCTGCCCATGATTATTTGTCTGTTTAGATTTTCTACCGTCTCTGAGTCCCTGTTGGTAATTTATACTTCCTTGAGTATTATCCATTTCTTTCAGATTTTAAACTGTAATAGGGCCAAGTTTTCACTTGTATTTGTCATTATTTCCTCTTACCCATGCTTATAAGCCCTTTCTCATTCCTAATTTGTATATTTATATTTTGTCATGCTTTTTTTTGGCTGTGCCACAAGGCTTATACAATCTTAGCTCCCCAACCAGGAAATGAACCTGGGCCCTTGAGAGTGAAAGTACAGAGTCCTAACCACTGGACCACCAGGGAATGCCCTATTTTGTCTTTTTTTTTTTTTTTTTTTTTTAATTNCAGTTTCTGTTTTGGTTTTTTTTTTTTTTTTTGGTTTATCAGTTTTATTGTTTGCTTTCCTCCAACCTCAAAGAACTAGATCTTAGATTTATTAATCAATTGCTTTTCTGCTATTGAACTAATTCATTTTGCTTTTATCTTTATTAATTTCTTCCTTTTGCTTTCTTTAAATTTTGCTTTGCTCTGACTTTTTTCCTCTTCTAATTTCCTATGTCGTCTGCTTTGTTAATGAAATTTTATTTTTTCTTCTTTAGTAATAAGTGTGTAAGGTCATGAATTTTCTTGTGAACACAACTTTGGCTGTATTCCATAAGTAATGTTTCATTGATTTAGTTTTAATATAATCCATAATTCAGTTTTTTTAACTTTATATTGAGGTATAATACACACCCAGAAAAGCAAACATATCAAAGTATGCACAGTTTGGTGAATATTCAGAAATTCAACACCCACATTAAAAGGACATGGACTTCCCTGGTGGTCCCATGGTTGAGTCTACCTTGCAATCCAGGGAACAAGGGTTCAATTCTTGGCCCAGGAAGATCCCACATGACACGGAGCAAATAAGCCCGTGCACCACAGTTGCTGAGGCTGGGCTCCGGAGCCTGTGCCCTGCAACAAGAGGAGCCACTGCAGTGAGAGGCCTGCGCGCCACAACTAGCGAGTAGCCCCGGCTTGCCGCACCTAGAGAAAATCCTTACACAGCAATGAAGACACAGTGCAGCCAAAAATAGCTAAAATGGAATAAACACAATTATAAAAAAAAAATAAAGAAAGAAAACATTACCAATACCCAAAAGCAGTTATATAATTCACAGGGCCCAAAGAGAAATGAAGATGCAATGTTCCAGTTTTATTAAGAACTTTAAGATGATAATAGCAGAGCTTGAAATCAACTGTGGGGTTTTTCAAAGCACAGGGTCCTATACGCACGACCCTGAAGCTGGCCCTGCGGATCCCCTCTTGGCTCTCTTCTCGTCCTCAGCTCCCCTCCCTCCCACAGGGAGTCAGTGTCCTGACTTCCAACAGAGAGAATAGTGTGGTCTATACTCTTGCATCCAGCTTCTTTTGCTCAACATTAGATTTATGAGGATCATTCATACTTTCACATGCAGTTGAAGACCATACATTCTCACAGCCATATGCTTAAAACTAGTTTATAATTTAGTTTTGGTTTGTCACTGATTGAAGAGTCATTTAGGAAAGCTTGAAAAATTTTCCTAGGGATTGAGTGCTAAGTTCTAACTTCCTAGTTTCAGAGGTGGAGCTAGAAACAGGCTCTTCTTCTGAGTGAGTAAATCGTCACCGCATACACAGTATGAGTAAACTCCTCCTTTTCTTCTGATACCCGGTAAAGAAGAAAAAGGAAGAAAGCTAGCCAAAGAAGGTAGTTAAAGGTTTTTTTTTTTTAACATTTTTAAAAACATCTCTAGAGTAGTAGCAGCTGTAAACCCTGGCAACAAGGTTAGAGCCTACTTTTTTTTTTTTTTAGAGCCTACTTTTAAAAAATGTTTATTTATTTTGTTTGTGCAGAGTGTGGGATATTTTTAGTGGTGGTATGCAAGATCTTAGTTGCAGCATTTGAACTCTTAGTTATGGCTTGTGGGATCTAGTTCCCTGATCAGGGATCGAACCTAGGCCCCCTGTAGATTCTTAGACACTGGACCATCAGGGAAGTCCCCAGTCAGAGCCTACTTGTTAGACTCAAATCCAAGGGTAGGGCAGCAAAGGGCATTCATCCTAATGGTTGCTAAGAACGTTGGGTAGGAGCTTCAGCACCCTATTGCATCCAGTCATGGTTGACTCTGGGGACCTGAACTGGGGTCTGCCTTGTGGAGTGAGCAAGTGATTTTTTCTGTGAAGATGTAGGAAAGTGGCCCTATAGACCTTCCCCTGAGATTGCAGGGTGATAGTGAGTGGTGGTTTAGCTGCTGTTGTGTCTGACTCTTTGCAACCCCATGAACTGTAGCCTGCCAGGCTTCTCTGTCCATGGGATTCTCCAGGCAAGGATACTGGAGTGGGTAGCCATTTCCTTTTTTAGGGGATCTTCACAACCTAGGGATTGGATCTGTGTCTCTTACATTACAAGTGGCTTCCTGCATTGCAAGCAGATTCTTTTTTTTTTAATTTACTTATTTATTTTAATTGGAGGCTAATTACTTTACAATATTGTGGTGGTTTTTGCATACATTGACATGAATCAGCCATGATTCATGGGTGTACATGTGTTCCCCATCCTGAAAAAATATGGAACACTTCACGAATTTGCATGTCATCCTTGCACAGGGGCTATGCTAATCTTCTCTGTATCGTTCCAATTTTAGTATATGTGCTGCTGAAGCGAACACTGCAAGCAGATTCTTCACTGCTGAGCCGCCAGGGAAGCCCAGGCAGGGAGGCAGGATGCCACTAATAAATACTGCCAACAACTTGCCCATACATTAATTAGGACTGGGCTGAGGAGTGTTGAACGTTGGTAGAATAAGTGACTAGTACTTGGGACCCGCTAGGCCTGGCAGAGATTTGCCCTGTAAGTGCAGGCTTGAAAACAATATTTAGTCCTCAGCACCTTCTAGTCACAAGAATTGCAACTGGCATCTCAGGACTAAATCTCAGATGCGCTCAGAAGTATTTCCTTGGTCAACACTGGTTATAAAGCCAGAAGTGATTGTGAAATTGAGCCAAGAGATAAAACTAGTCTCCTAAGTCTGGTGTGGGCATTTCCTTCTAATGCAGTGGTCCCCAACATTTTTGGCACCAGGAACCAGTTTCACAGAAGACAGTTTTTCCACAGACCGGGGTAGGGTACGGGTGGTTTCTAGATGATTCAAGAGAGTTACATTTATTGTGCACTTTATTTCTAATCTAATGACACCAGTGATCTGAAAGGATGTAGCGGTCCATAGCCCAGAGGTTGGGGACCCCTGTCCTGATGTCAAACGCCATGACCTGAGGAGGCAGTCAGGGTTCTTCTCTTCCTATCACTAACCCTGTCTTCTCCTAGCATGAAATGACTTCCTTTAAGATTAGAGAAAAGACTGACCTCATCCACCCACAGCCGGTTGATTCCTTCCAGAAGGAAGTGGTGAAGCCGCGTATAGACGTCAGTTGCTCCCTGAACCAACTCAGTGCCTCCTGCTGGTGTCTGACCCCAAGGCTCACCAGAGCCTTTCATCTCTTAGCTAACTGCTTTCTTTTTTACTTTAATATACCCACAAGGTTTCATCAGCTTCACAATAGTGAAGATCACCTTTGCACACCAAAAATGGTCCACTTCTCTGTTGTTCCTGATTTTCTGTTTCAAAGAACATTCAGTAATTTCAGAATGTTAGAGAAGCTCTAAGGCAGTGGGGAAACCGCTTAGCTGGTTTCTGTCTGGGTAAAAGGTCTGGTGAGTGTAACAGCTGCTCCCAACTGGGACCTACTGCCCTCCTAGGGTCCTCATAGGCACAAAAGTGCCATCACTTGCTTGGAGCAAAAGTTCCCTATTTAAAAAGATAAGGCAACTCCCTTATGGCAGCAGAGATTTTACCTTTTTCCTTGGAAATTGCAGAATTTATCTGGAGGGCTCTGGGACTGAGTCTGCAACTCAGATTACAGCTGTGTTTCCATATCCTTTCTTACGCAGATGGCCTTCTGGACAGATTAGTGAAGGTGCTGTGTCTTCTTTTTGGATGCCTCCTGTATGTCCAGGGAAACTCTGCAGAAAGGAAGCAAACTAGGAGAAATTTAGGATTGACATTAGAGCAAGAATCCTATTCTCTCATTCAAAAGCAGAAAAGTGAAAAGAAAAAGCTTTTGCCAGGTAATTTTCATCTTAACTATTCATGCAATTATCCTGATTTTTGAGCATGCTTTATTCTCACAAGACTTGCTTTCTGTCTTTCAATTTTAGCCAAGTTCTGGAAGCAACATGAAATTTCTGCATGAAGGATTGAGGACTCTTTGTGTCTCTCAAGGCAGGTGAGTTTAGAAGTAGAGGTGATCTGCTTTGCAGGATGTCTAGAATTCTGTGGAAGTAGAAATTCCCAGTTACCCTATGGGAGCCCATAACCTAAAAAATAGAAGCATATGGTATATTCCCCAAACAGGAGTCACACCTCCTGTGTGATAGCAAAAAGAGAACTGAAGAGCTTTCCTAGGCAGGGCAGGCTGCATAATCTGCGGGGCTTTGTACAAAAAGAAAAAGAAAATAATGGGGACTCTTGGTCAAAAAGCAGGAGAAAAAGGACTGTCAAAGGTATACATAAAGTCAGACACAGAAGGACGAATAGCATGTGATTCCACTTCTGTGAAGTACCAAATGTAATTAAGAGTCGTAGAAAGAGAAAGAATGGTGGTTGCCAGGGGCTGGAGGGCGTGGGGACAAGGAGTTTTTAATGGGTATAATTTCAGTTTTGGAAGATGAGAAGGTTTTGCAGATGGTGCTGATGTTTACACAACAGAGTGAATGTAATTAATGAACTGCACACTCAAAAATGGTTAAAATGGTAAATTCTTTATTATGTATATTTTAGCCTCCACCTCTCGCCCACATACGCATAAGAAATATATAAATTTTTTCCTTCTTTCACAGACTCTCTTATGACTTGTCATGGTGTTTTTTATTTGCTATTTAATGTCATCCTAAGTAAGGAAAAATTAAAGATTTAAATTTTTAGCATCAATTTTACTCTTCATTTTTATTCTATGCAATACCAATTTTAAATGAAAATGTCTAAAAGTATTTAACTTGTATTTGGAATCACTGAAATTATACAACTTGAATTTTGTGTAATTCCAGGAGGTTACCTTGAGTTGGTTAAAAGAGAGAAACAAGAGCCAAGGTCTGGAAAAGTGGAAGGAGGAGGTGAGGATACCCCTGGCACAGAACCTGGAGAAAGAGCCCTCCAGGGTATAGGACCTCATGGATGCCTGAGGGGGTGGTCTCTTTGACTTAATAGCTGCCAGCTTCCCCTTCCCACAGGCCTGCCACCCCAGCCCACAGCACACAGGCTACTGCCAAGCATCGTTAGAACTCAGAGCTGGGATGAGGTCAATAGGTGGGGTTGGCCGCCACCATGCCCCCAACACCCACCTTCCTGCACTGCCACCAGACCCCCGCCAGGCAGGGGCGTGGCAGTGAGAACCCATCCATGGCGGCCGTAGGGAATGTGACTGTATAAGGTCAGGCTCCAAGGATCCCCCCAATCCCCCCCACCCTGACCACCGCCATGCCTGCCTGCTCCATTGCTGGTTCCAGGAGACTTCCCTTGACACAAAATCAAAGATAAAATGATTAAGAATTTTAAGACTGCAACCACAGTGCATTCAGCCCCAAGTGCAGGGCCCTCAACTGTACTAGTCACACACCCTGTTCCTCAGGCCAAAGAAAAGAGTGTGTTTGGCTGGAGTATTCTTTGAAAGACCCCCTCATCCCTGAAGGAAACCTAGTTAAGTGCAGAAGTGCTGACAGTGGAGGGGCTGAGGCAGCCTCGCCTCGAGTCCCTCCTGCTCCCTTTCCTTTCTGACAACAGACTCCAGCTCCACCCCTTTCCTTTCAGCCTCCCACTCCCCACCCACTGTTGGTCGACTGGTCTACCACTTGTCCACGCCAGGAAACACCGGGATGTAAATTCCTCAGGATGAGACATGAAGTCTAGCCCATGTCAGCTCTGAGTGCAGTTTCCCAAGTTCCCTAGTCCCAGGGCTGCCATACAGGAGCGCAGAATGTGAAACTGTCCATTAGTTTGCCCCTGATGACCTGGGGGTGAAGTGCCGGGGCACAGGGAGAAGTGTGGCCCTCTGGGTAGCTGCCACCTGTAGAGGATTAAGGAAGCCGAATCTTTCTATTTCCTAAATTGGACTGCAGACTGTAGCCAATGTACTTTCTCTTTGTAGTGGCTTCAAGTTGTGTCTGGGATAGAGTCAGGGGTGTTTTTCTTGGACTGAAAGGCTTGCCTTGAGCATCGTCCGGATCATATTGCAGAGAGTTATGCTCCAACTAGCTACATCTGCTAAGATGTACCTGGGGGGAGTTCCCCGGTGGTCCAGGGGGTAGGACTTGGAGCTTTCAATGCCATGGCCCTGGGTTCGATACCCGGTCGGAGACCTGAGATTCTGCAAGACTCGTGGAGCAGCTGGGGAAGAAAAAAAAAAAAGATGTACTCTAGTTTTATCAAGTATCTTGGGGAGACTCTTCAACTTTAGCAGGCTGAGAAGAAACCCCACACCAGCTTTACTTGCAACTCTCAGCGCATCAGCTGGAGTCTTCCCTTGGGGGAATACACTGATCTATGCTCCTGAGGTCCCTTCCCAGGAAGTCAGGGGACAAACCAGCAGCACTCCCTGCCCTATTCTCTGGTGCTATTAGGAAGGCATTTTCTTTTCAGCTGAGGACAATCAGGCCCACCAGCAACATCCAACTCAGTTCTGTTCAATCCAGGCAGAGGAGCTGGGGTGAGGGATGAACACCCTCAATTCTAAACAGAGGTAGGTGAAAGGCAAAGCCTAGGGAGGCTTGGGTACTGGTTCACAGTAGACCCAGCTGGGCTCAGAGCAGCTCCAGGTTGGCAGCCAGTCCCCGGAGGAGGGAGGAGGAGTGGAAAGCGGGAGCACAGTTCAAGATCCTGTTCTTCATCTATCCCACCCCTAACCCCGCCCCTGCCCCATGCTGACCCCTCTCTGAGCCTCAGCCGGGAGTTGTGTATTTAAATGTCTCTGTCAAAGAATGGAGACTGAGACTGTGGGTGACTAAGACCTTTCTAACATACATCTTTGAAGAGCTTTGAAGGGAAGCAGCCAATCCCCCCTGCCCAACCCTGCCGGGTTTCCCATTTCAAATGACTAAGTCATGACCCTTCTTAGCAAGACTTCAAAGAACCTGATCAAAGATAACATTTATATTAAATAAAACAGCACATTTTTTCCTTTTTACTGTAAAGCTTGAAATGAAAAACAGCCCTGTTTCAGCTCTCTGGCCAACAAAGCATGGTGAAAACAGCAGAGAAGTGATCCTTACAGGACAACCCTCACACACCCTCCCCCTACCTTTTTTGGAACTTGGTGGCCCCTACACTGAATCTCTAACGTTAAAGATGCTTTTTTCAGGTGCTCATTAGGTCACTGGGCAATCATAAATCCCCACCAAAGCTTGGGACTTCCCTGAAGGTCCAGTGGTTAGGGCTCTGCACTTCTACTGCAGGGGGATGGGTTCGATCCCTGTTTAGGGATTTGGCATGCCACCAAAAATTAAAAAAAAAAAAGAAATCACCAAAGCTCATATACATAATCTCTGCCACAAGTTACCATCTGAGAAGGCAGTTTTGGTGTGGTGAAAAAAACACCCTGGATGTGGGAGTCAGTCTGGCTTCTCAAGTCTTTGCCTTGCCTCACCACAGTCCTGGGTAGACACAACTTCTTTGAACCTTCAGCTTTCTCATGTACAAACAGAGGTATTAAATCTCATATATCTCACAAAATCCTGTTATGAGCAGATGAATATGTATGAAAAAGTACTTATTGTGCTTGATACATAATAATACATAATATATACTCTCTCTATATATATATTTTGTATTTTAACCTATTACATTAGTGTTTTCTACAACTCTTTCCCCCCACCCCATACCAATTTAATGAAACAAATATAAAGGTAACATTTTAAAAATTGCTGTATTCAAAATTAATAATAAACTTTAGGGTAAATAAGCTTTAAAATAAAAGTACATAAGCAAAAATAAATAATTTACACCAACCCACTAACCTAATTTTCAGAGTAAAGCCATTTCCAATTACAGCACTATTATCCCGGACTCCAGGCTGTGGTCAAGCTTTGATAGTTCATTATTTTTAAGAAACAGTAACAAAAAACTGAACACTCAGGAAATCATCTTTAACAAAACTGAAGTACTGGATTTAACTTTTTAATTTTAAATAACCAAACTTTGTAATTTTATACATAATCCAATGTAATGCTAATATAATTAGCACTTCAGCTTGCAGAGCTGGTATTTAACAGGGGTGGAAAACTGTAATTAATAGTCTTCAAACCGTGAGATATTTAATACAAATAAAAATAGACAAGTATACAGTAGAACAAAAACTGCAGACACTCTACTAGCTGAGGGAAATATCTGAAGGCTTTACATCCTTTATTATCCATGATGGCTTTTGGAATTATGATTGTTTGACGTATAGAACCTTTGACATTTTCAATACAGCCTTTTTTTTTTTTTTCACAGTAAGTTAAAAATCCATCATAAGACTCCATAAGACTTCACTGGTCTTGCACGTAGACTCTAGGAGTTTGCAATCTGATAAAAGAGTAACATAAAAAATTACTGTATTGCCCTCATTTCATACTTCCTTGTACACAATACATCAGTTTGGGAAATCTATTCCAAGGGTTATATACACAAAAGTGTCAAGAATAAAACGTTCTCCACTCTTGCATAAAAATGTGTACAGTGTTTCAGGAATGGAAAATTTCTAATTTTCCTGGGCCCGGGCTTCATGGATCTCTGCTGCCTGAAGATGAAAGGCTTCTCTGGCTTTATTGCTCCATTGTTCTGAGGATTAATCATCTAACCCTGGCGTTTCTCCTTGCTGGATCCTGGATGCTATTCTGATGGCTTCTTCCAGAGATGGCTGTTCTCCAAGCTGAAACAGGAACATACACATAGCCACAGTCGAGATAATGCCAAAGAAATATAATATGCCAGAAGTAAAATTTCTTTCTGTAATTATAACATCTGGGCTTGTTAAAGTACTAATGCTCACCCACAAAACACAAAAATTCCTGCTGGGGAGAATAATGCAGTTTCTTCATATGGGATTTTGATAAATCTTCACACATGCAAGGAACAAAATGATTATCTTATCTGTTCTGTTCATCTTTTCTGTTGGAGATAGAGCGCTTCATGAGCCTTTAGCTTTATGCCCATAAACTAAATTAAAACCAACAGCTGGCATTTTCCAGAGTGCGTTCTAACCCTTTTCTGAGTAAATATGTTAAAACAAAACAAAACAAACTTCCCAAGGAAAGGTAACCTACATCTCACATTCTAGATTCTCTGAACGCAGTGACTTCCCAGAGAATGTATTCTTCATAGTCTTCTGACATTCCCCACCATAAAATACAGCTGTTGTGCAGGGACTTTTTTGAGGACTAACTTGGGAGTCTATGTTTACAGGAGGTTCATTTCCAAGGAAGAACTCTTAAATGCTTTATAGAATCCTGCCTAATTAGACTTTTTTTTTCCCCTAAATAAACTTTTATTCTGACAGTAAAGATGGCTGGTCAGGTACACACAGGGATGTATGTATATACCAGGAGCTTTATACTTCTTGCTATAAATTCCCCTAGATTACACAAAGATAGTAGCAAACAAAGTTTTAGTCTCTTTGAGTTTATTTCAAAACACAGCAATTTCCTTAAAGGAGCTAAGTGCTGCGTATTATTCTGCGCCCTGCCTCTGTGAATGTTATGCATCAGAGAACAGTGACAAGGCTGAGGGCTGAACAGACTGCTGTCAACAGAGGACAGCTGCCATTGTACTCACCTGGACTGCAATCTGGGTGCCGTTGGATGTCGCCACTAAGGTCAAAGGTCTGGTTTCTGTGGTTACTAAGTGATGGCTATGCTGTTGGTGCCCCATTTCTGATGATGCAGTGTGGAATGCTGCCAAGTCCTGAGCCACAATTGCAACCTTAAAAAATACACAGAAGAATTAAAACTATGATTTAAATAGGTTAAAATCCATTTAATGCAAGGGACTGTCTTCAAATTCAAAAGCTAATCCTCCCTTCTGACCATAGACTTGTAGAAGCTGAAAGCTGGAAACGACCTTACATATTGTCTATTCTGAACTCCTCTTTTTTTCCTCTCTTTTTTGTTTTGACTACACCACCCAGACTGTGGGACTTTAGTTCCCCTATAAGGGAGTGAACCCGGGACCTCAACAGTGAGAGCAGAGTCCTAACTACTGGACTGCCAGGGAATTCCCATGGACTCCTCTTTGTTGAGCAAGTTGATACTCAGAAAGAAGGGACTTATCTAAAGTTAAGAAGCAAGCAGATAGCAAAACAGGATAGAAGACACTGAGAAAGTGGATTCGCTGTCAAGTTCCATTAAACAGAAGAGACGTGACTGTGCCTAGATTCTAATATCCCTAAGCAGCTGCCTGGGAAGTTACACACGTGGATTAATTTATACCTCAAATGTCTATTTATTTTATTTTTTTCAAATGTTTATTTATTCCTGAGTTTGGATCAGTGGTAGATACATTATTTTCTCCTGTTTATCTGTTGCACTAAAAATTAGATTTCTATTAACCAAAAAGGACCTACTATATTACACAGAGAACTCTGCTCAATGTTATGTGGCAGACCAGATGGGAGGGGAGTTTAGGGGAGAATGGATACATATATAGGTATGGCTGAATCCCTTTGCTGTTCACCTGAAACCATCACAACACTGTTTGTTAATCAGCCATTCCCCAATACAAAATAAAAGGTTTTAAAAAAATTAGATTTCCATTAAATTTTTTAAATTAAACAAAAAAATTAAAAATAAAAATAATTTTAAATAATAAAAATATTTTAAAATTAAAAATAAATAAAAATAAAATTAGATTTCCACCGGGAATTCCCTGGTGATCCAGTGGTTAGGACTCACTCTCACTGCCATGGGTCTGGGTTCCAGCCCTGGTCAGGGAATTGAACTAAGATCCCAGCAAGCTGCACAGCATGGCCAAAAAAAAAAAAATGATTTCCATTAATTGGGAAAACAAAGTACCAGGAACATCACTACACAGCATGAGGGGTCTTAGTTTTCCAACCAAGGACTGAACCCATGACTCCTGTAGTGGAAGCGTGGAATCCTAACCACTGGGGGATTAATTCCCAGCAACATATTTTGTAACAGTCACTTCCTCTTTTAGATCCCACGGAATCTTTCCAACCTGTTCCTGAAGTACCTAGTCAGAGTGGTTAAAACTGCTTTTGTGGCTCTTAAACTACGAATGCAGCTTTTTCTATGTAGATAATAACAGAAAATAGCATCAACTACACGTCATATGATAGTTAAGAATTCTGTTCAGCCAAACTTCGAGAAAGAATAGGTTAAAAACTGAAATTACTATTTTACTTGGCCATTAATCTAGTAAGAATGCTAGATTTTAGTGCTAATAGATATTTAGCTTGGATCAATCCCAGTATTGGTCCATAGTCCAGCAACAGATTTTAGTCCAACAACAGGGGAGTAGCTTATATTAGATTAACCTTTCCTGCAGGTAACAATCATAAAGTGTAGAAAAAATATGAAAAAGCAACCATCTGAAGGCATTGGTGAATGGTGAAAAGCAGGCAGAAAATGGAGGGGATTCTCAAAAGGGAACCACACTGGGTCACATCGGTTTCAACAGTTTTTCCACTTGAGGGCAGTCACCAATCTGAACGGCATAAGGCAACTTATGGTATCAGATAATTAAGTCCAGGGCTGCCAGGATGGCTATTTATTGAAAGGGATATCCTAGAAAGGAGAAAACCAGAGGGAGGGGGACCCCCCCCCCCAAACCTGTATATAAGTTCCTCTCAATTCTTTAAGACCTCAGAACTGCAAATGTGTTGGGGAGGTGTCAATAAATCTGGAATAAAGCAGCAGCTAGAAGGCTAAAAAGCTGAGAAGAGGATTCAGTGATACTCACCACAGGGCAGACAGAATTTAGAATTTCAACCCCACCAAGTTTAGAAGATTACCTCAGGCTTTCCACTGAAACCTTAAGAGCTATACTTTAGGAGTAAAGACTATTTCCCAGGACTAAAGATTCACCCTGAGACCAAATGGCAAAACCAAAACAAACCTACCTTAATAAAGTACAAACCCCAGCCTCCACATGTAACTTAACTACTTGATAAAATTAATATTCTTCAGAGGAAGATAACCAAATTAAAAATCCCCATAATGTATCATCCACAACATCCAGAATACAATAAAAAATTACAACACATGAGAAGAGGAAAATGTAACCCAGAGTCAAGAGAATATGAAGTTAACAGAAACAGACCTTGAGATGACCAATATGTTTTGATTAGCAAACAAGGACTTTAAGATAGTTACTATAAATATGTTAAAAAGCTTATGGAATTCACACAAGGGGAAATCTCAGTAAATAAATGAAAACTATAAAAAAGTAAATTCTAC